GTAGTACATATGCCAGGCCTGTAAGTGGCGCTGTAGTCTGCCACAAAAGCAGCAAAGAAGACTTCCCGCGCATGGTTGCCCTTCTGTTTATTCTCCGCTGTGGCTCTTTTTCTCCCTCCCCGAGGCAAGCGTTTGCTCCTGTAATTCAATGCAATCCCTCCCCGTCGAGGCAAGCACTGTAATTCTCTCCGGTAATCCACCACCAGATGACAAACACCCACCTCTCCGCCTCTTCCAAGGAACAAGGGGACCGTGCGGCAGAGTTTCAGTTAGATTTTTTTTAGCCCGGGCAACATGTCCGTTAAAGTTTAAATCTTCCGGACAACATTAGAACTGTGCCGGTCAAAGGTCTTCTTTGTTATTTATTGAGCTTTAAAACAAATGAATAATGACTCTATATAATCATATATAAGAATAAAACACGGAGGACGGAGATCTCTTTTTCTCCCCCTCTTCTGACAGCCCAGCAGCTGATCTCAAAGCACGCTCCCCTCTCCTGCAGGGGGGCGTGGTCAGCTGCATCTCATAGAATCAGCCCCCTGCAAAAACAGGGCTGGAAAGAGCAAATAGAATGAAATGAGGCATGGCTAAAATGCAGGATCTGTTTGGTATTTTGACAAAAAAGCTATATTTATATACTTTATATAGGTATGGCCCTACAATATATTGTTCAAATATAGCATGATATGTCCCCTTTAAGGTATTATTAAGGTAGGGTTAATGTTGCTCTCAAAGTGCACCAGATTGATACTTTTAACTTCAGTATTTAAAAAGATTATTCCCGGGGGAGCATGCCCCCGGACCCCCCTAGAGGAGGCGACGACCCCCCTAAAGGATGTTCGGTCCACCCCCCACTTGTAAAAAAAATAGCACTTATCTGCTTAATAGTTACTTTAATACTGGAAGAAAATGGCCACCCAATAAGTCGCTGCTTGCGAATTAAGTCACTTGAAATAAATGTTTAAGCGATAGAGTATTTTCACATTGATTCAAATGTTTTGACAGAAAGTAAGCATAGCAATTGTCAAAATGATTATTTTGATATTTTCAGTAGCTAGTTACATACATAGTAGCCTTTAGAAAAGTTAGCTACCGTAGACTTTATCTAACTAGATTCCCGTGTAATTTCGTATATGTTGGTCTAGCGTGAAAAGGCTTCTTTGGATGATGACAGTATATTTTAGGCTGGACTGAATGGGAGTGTTGTTCCCTTCGGTCCTTGGAGCACAACATGATGGCAACATTTCCCCCCAGTGAAAGTGTGCTCTGAAGCACACATAGAATACTGGACTCGCTGTGGCTTCACTTGATGTTGTTACACTTGTGAAGTTTGGACATATGTAACGTAATATATCATTCTTTATTTTAAATTGTATTGTAACATTCTGCTAGTAATCTGATGAGGACCTGATGTTGTAACTGTAACAGAATATTTTAACAGCGTTACATGTATTCCCTTACTCCCTCAGCCCACCCTCTGTACCAAGACTATATCTGTGCAAATGTTCTCTTTTGTCACCCTATGCTACAAGCACCATGCTCATTGTCTATATATATTCTCTTGACCAAACAGCTGCTCAGTAAACCAATCCCTTACAAGTCGAGGGGACAGCTGCCATTCCACAGACAGAGACAGAGAAAGAGAGGGAGCTCAGCCCAGCCATCAGAGAGAGTGTGACAGAGATGATTGAGACAAGTTGAGAACGGTAACAGATAAGTGGACAGACAAAGCAAACAAGACGACTGCATTTTGAAAAACACTTCGACAGACCTTTTGGAATATCTCCTCCAATTCAAGTAAAGTTGGTACTCATACTTTCTTGAAGCTGCAGAGATGGCAGAGAGCAGCGGTTCACCATTGTCATCCTACATCATGGATGAGGAAACTCTGAAGAGAAAACAAAAAGAGAAGCTGAAGAAGCTGATGGCTACAGGAGGCAACCCAAGGCCTGCACGCTCTCTCCTCTTCCTGACACTGAGGAATCCCTTCCGCAAGGCCTGCATCAGCATTGTGGAGTGGAAGTATCCTCCTCCAAAGGGTTGGATCAGAAATATACCATAAGGTTTTAGGTGATTGTAGCTACCGTAGATTAACATGCAGTAATTGTAAAATGTTCAATGTTCTATTTCTATCACAGATGTAGTTGTATGTGTGTGTGTGTGTGTGTGTGTGTGTGTGTGTGTGTGTGTTTTAAGTTGTTTGCTAGTTAATTTGGTAATGTCTGTGAACTACTATGGCATAGAAGCTTCCTATAAATCACTTTCAGACCATTTGAAATCATAATCCTACTGGCAATCTTTGCCAACTGCGTGGCCCTGGCCGTGTACCTGCCCATGCCCGAGGAAGACAGCAACAACACCAACAGCAATCTGGTGCGTCTGCCTGCTTGTTTTTTGTATTATACAGCAACACTGACACTTGTTTTAAGACAGGGGTTTCCCAAAGTTGGGACCCTGGGGTGCCTTCAAGACAGCCATACGGTTAGGGTCAGCCCATCTTTACTAATTAACTTTTTGTTCCATTCCAAAGTAGGCCATAAGCTCTCCTCAGCTAAACCTTGACCCATGTTAAAATCAGTCTGTAGTTTGCCAAATGGTTTATTATTATTCAGGATGATATTGGACATTTACAATAATTTGTTTTACTAATGGGACGGCATGACCTGCCCTGCTCTTCCTCTCATTGGCAAGTACTTGAGTTTTTTTGGAGGAAATGGTTAGGTTTAGTCATGCTGAATCAGATAAGCCAACCAGAGGCAGGTCACCCAGCTAGAAATGTTTGGTTCTAAAAACCTTCTGAGAATGTTACAGTCATTGTTCTAGGAACGTTTTCAGCGGGAAGTTTTTGTTTGGTTCCCAGAACGTTCTTCTGAAAGGTAGGATAACGTTCTCTAAAAACATTCTTAAAATGTTTGGTGATAACATTGTTAGAACATTATGCCCTCCTATTCTTAAAGCATCTTGCAGGTTGTTGTTTTTTCTACATTTATGCTTAAACTTGCTTGAAAATTAGAATTAAAAAAGTGAATGTAGGATTTGACATGTTTTATGAGACATAAGGGCAGGAATTCAGAGGGAAAGGAGCAATTTTGAGCTCTGCTCTTAAAAGCGGCTTTTTTTAAGGCCATACGTCAAACGCGTCATATTACATCACAAAGGGTAAACATCTCCGCTCTCTGACCGCGGGTATAGTTAGTACAGTAGTTGCGTTGAGTTGAGCGGTTGTGTTTTAGTGAGCTGGTATTTTTCGGTAGTTTTACATTGTATTTCACCATTTGTAATCATGGTGCAGTATTGTGTTTGTGCAGGTTGCACAAATACCAGCCTGCCAGCCAGGACATCGAGTCCACAGTTTCCCTCACGGGAAAAGGACCGGTGTTGCAGTATAAGTTGAGTCATGACAACTGGCGACATTCTATTATTTTCGTCATAGGAATCCGGGGCGTGTACATTGAGGACCCATTGTTGACTTACCAGGAAAGAAACATGTCGATCGCCTCGTTTGTCGTTTACGTTCATCTTTTGCTATATCTGCCTTCCTAAGATCACTTTGCTGCACATTCAGTACTCGTATGTGAGGTTGTGGGTGAGAGGCCGAGTAT